CGCTTACTGACTTCATCACTGCGACCACTCCTCGTTGGCAATCCCACAACTACAGTGTTAGTTTACAACTTTGTTCCAGTTTACGAATACACGATAAGGAGTTCATGAGAAAAAAACAGTTTTGTCATTTAAGCAAAAAGACATTATACGCCCATCTGGTTGACTGAAGAAGTTATTAAATTTTTCTTAGTTTTTTGCATAATGTGGGTTACAATCTGCCTTAGGCAAAAGTCTATGAAATTAGACCGTCTACCGTGCACCTACCGTTTTTGAAGGGTAATTCTATTAGGTTGGCACGAAAGTTCTTGCGTAATTCAAACAAAATTCAATAACTTTTCAATGACTAAACCTAAATTCACACTCTTGTATGTTAAAAATATTAGAAGCCTTACGCTTCATGAAGGATGTTTAAGCATAAGATTCCGTGAGCTGGACATCAAGAACGAAGCTCTCGAACATGGGGCTTCAAATTTTGCGATTTTGAGTTTGGTGCCGGAAAATCGCAGAGTGCCGCTAGCTAGCCGAAAAAAATCTGTAGAATTTACTTACGCAACAATAGGTCCATATGTTACTTTGGAAGGCTTTGATCTTGTACGATGAAGCAAAAACAAAAAGTTCGTGAAATATGTCATTTTGCGGAAAAAAATCCCCTCATGTCCGCAGTTTTCAGGCGAAAACACTTTTTTACAATCGAGAAAACGTCGCAGAGCTCTGAATAGGCACTATATCTAATTTCTGGTCGCAGACTGTGTTTCTGTGGAAAAATTAGAGCGATAAGGGGATTTGTCCTGTAAAATGACAAATTCCACAAATTTTTTGTTTTCGCATTTCCATGCGAGATCAAAGCCTGCTAAAATAACGTATGGACTTTTGCTGTGTAAGTAAATTCTACAGATTTTTTCGGCTAGCTAGCGGCCCTCTGCGATTTTCTGCGACCAAACTCAAAATCGCAAAATTTGAAGCCCCACATTTGAGAGCTTCGTTCTCGATGGCTAGCTCGTGAAATGTTGTGCCTGAACTTCCATCATGGAGTGTGAGACTTCTAATATTTTCGGCATACAAGATTGTGAATTTAGGTTTAGTCTTTGAAAAGTTATTGAATTTTGTTTGAATTACGCAAGAACTTTCGTGCCAACCTAATATTTAGCAGAAAAAATGAATCTTGCAGAGCTGAGGTGCTCTTAGATTCAGAATTCGACCACTTTGCATTGTGATATTCCGGTAAGATGCCGGTAAACTTCAAAAGAGTTTGGTAACTTATTCTGACTTATTCCGCGGCGTTGTACATGGTTATTGTTCATTGCTACCTACATGGTATACATCACGGGAGAACCGCTTTTTTGTAGAAGTGACATAATTCTTGTTGCTCTTCAAAGTGATATGTTGACGCCCCTGACACATTCAGAATGCTGCTGCTGAGAGACGTCTGCAGCATTACTAAATATTTCGATTGCAACTCTGCATTATCAGTACGATTGTTTCTTGACTTGAAATGATCGAAAGCCGTTTAGCAAATTATGTTTTGCAACTGCAGTGATGGCAAGGATAGATCCTTGTAAGGTTCCGTTGTTTTGTCGAGCGACAACAGCAGAATTTTTAAGAGCAAGCGAAAACAACAACAACACTTTGGATAAAACAGAAAACTTCCGAAAGCTGCTTGAGAAGTTGAACAGTTGTGCCTGAAATTACAAGGGAATGATACTTGATAAGTAGCGTTCCCAAATAAAGTATATACCGTTTTAAGACGCTGATTTTAAATCTGCCTTTGATACCTGCAAAGCGCTTCTGAGAGGGGAGTAATGAGGATTTTTCAAAGCGAAAGCTCAAACTCCGGCCACAATAAAATCATTCGGAACTGTAGTCTATGAACTCAAATGGAGCCGTGATCACTGCCAAAGACGCTTCAAGCAATTGCTATCTTCAATCTGAACTCATGCCAATCATTACTCCTTGCAAGCACCCAAAGACCTCAACGCCTGTTTTTACCTCAAAACCTTTTAATTCACACTTGAAAAAATTCCCATAACTCTCCTTCCAGAAGCGCTTCGCAGATACAGAAAACGATTTGGAATCAGCGTTCCATGCTCTATAAAACAATATCTATTTCATGTAGAAACGCCACTTGGACCAAATATCCTTCCTTTGTTAGACGCTATACGCTCAGAGTTTTACCATTTTTGAAATATTTTGACTTGCAGAACTCTGAATTAATTTGACAGTTTGCTGAGAGCACTTCAAATTCAATTCACGAAAGTCTTAATCCGGAAAAAGAGGGGTAGCCAGTTCCAAACATCAAAGAAGAAGAGACGTCAAGTAGACGCTTGCACGATTATTATATTCACCGACACTTTTGGCTCACTCGAAAACTCATGTGTATATCACCGTTACGGTCACTTTCATATTAAAACTAGATGGCAAACCCGGCTCCGCCCGGGACCAAACTTTGCACACATACACTTCGGGGCAGGGAGCGTGTTATAGGCTACTTTTCGTTATCGATCGATATCGATTTTATCGATTTTTTGCAAAATTTGAGCTAGGGGGCTGGGATTTTGGAGGGGTTGATCAGCATGCTCGATTACCCCCCTGTGCGAAATCCCAGCCCCCTAGCTCAAATTTTGCAAAAAATCGATAAAATCGATATCGATCGATAACGAAAAGTAGCCTATGACACGCTCCCTGCCCCGAAGTGTATGTGTGCAAAGTTTGGTCCAAATCGGTTCAGAAATAAAAATTTCTATTCCGCACATACGTACAGACAGACATACATACAGACAGACATTCAGCTTTATATATAAGACTAGCTGGCAAACCCGGCTCCGCCCGGCCCTGTCATTATTATATTCGTAATCAGCATGCTCGATTACCCCCCTGTGCCAACTCCCAGCCCCGTAGCTCAAATTTTGCAAAAAATCGATGAAATCGATATCGATCGATAACGAAAAGTAGCCTATGACACGCTCCCTGCCCCGAAGTATATGTGTGCCAAGTTTGGTCCAAATCGGTTCAGAAATAAAAAATTCTATTCCGCACATACGTACAGACATACATACAGACATACAGACAGACATTCAGCTTTATATATAAGATATACATTTTTGGCAAAGTCCTGTACATTCTGACTCTAATAAAGCGCGAAAATTCAGCTCAACATTTAATTAGAAAATATAATAAGCTATCGCTAGCAGTGCAGCCAGCTGCAGGCTTCATTCCATGTGAGTTCTTCCATATTCTCAAATGCGTTGCTAAAGAGTTTGAAGCGAATGCGAGAACAAAACAAAACAGCAAAACAGCTTATCTTTTTCGCAGTTTCTTTGGCCTCAAAAGCAGAAAGGCAAAGCCGAAAACACTTGCAGTGAAAGCTTTCGTAATGCCGAGATGCATGAACTTTTCTTTGATATCAAGTATCAGAACATTTTTTTGCACAGCAGAATTTCACCGCAGACGAATCAGATACCGCCAAGTCTATCGCAAGTATCCAGCTTGAATGGCTCATCCGTTTGCCGCAGCTATGGGGTTAGGTGCTATCTGCTATGTTTCAGATAAAGTGTTAAGTGAGCTTGCACGAGACGACAGTATATCGCAATCGTATCCTCGGCGCCAATGTTCAGCAACTACGTCCCACGAACTCCTTGGCGGTCAAAAACAGGGCTTGGCGGCTGAAAGGCGGGGATTCGAGACTAATCAAGGCTAGAGGATGATCGGAGCGCACATTTGCAAGAGAGACGCAGAGTACGTCGCGGGCGCGGGCGCCTTCCAGCCGCCAATCCCGTTGAATCGTTGAGAAGGGTACTTTTCGATTCATGAATGAATTGTAGTCAGCAAACCTAGTACTCAGAAAGACGAAAAAATCGCACTGTTTTCGCTTTTCTGTCCAGGCGCTAATCTAACGGGGAAAAAATACTTTGTGACCGTGGCCTTTTGATACGTGACGGATGTCATGACGTTTGCCTTGGAACGCTGATCCAAAAACTGCTTGTTTATTCTCGTTATATTATGTGGCAATTTTTCAGAGGGCCCGTATTCCTCGCATCTGATGCGTTTGCACAAGAGTACGAGAAATATCGAATGTGCCAAAGGGTCGAGGGCTAGCGGTTGACGTAGTCGATTGTCGGATTATGGATGCCAGTTCGATCTCTGTCGGTGCACATTTTTGCGTTCCCTTTCACAAGCGGTATTTCTTCTTGAAAAAGGGTTCCGCAGATATCAAACATATTATGTAAGCTTTTTCATAATTGATTCTTTATTGCTATAAGCCATTTCTTCGTTAATTTCCCATGGTAGTTGGGGTATCTTGTGATAAAGCAAAGCACGTTTTCTACAAAATGACATTCAAACGTTCACATCAAGTGTGACCCATATAAAAGTTCAATCCTAAATAAAAAAGGTCCAAAGCCCAAAAAATTGAAAAAGTTTTCTAATAGTTTCGAGGTCAACATTTGAGGCGAACATTATCTTAATAACATATTTCAAAACGCCCACGCTTACAAAATATCTTTCCTTTGTAAGCAAAGAAAGAGGGGCTGCTTATACCTAAATTGTACAAGCTATCGTACATGTTGCATAAGAGAGCCCTTTATAATAATTTTCAAACATTTTTATAAATGCAAAAATAATATTTTTTTCAAAAGATTTCGCAGCATACCTCCGTCTTCTCGTTCTTATCTAACTATGAAAACCATTATCGAGATGCATTGTTGCGATAGCTCAGGCTTTTCGTACTCGACTAATGCCGTCAAAGAAGATTGTCAATCCAAGCCGCATCTTAAAGGTCTCCTTGTTTTCCTTTAGCAGCAAACACTTGCATATTGATCACAACAAAGAACACGCATAAAACAACAATTAATAATGCGCGCTGTACGGCCAATGCTATTCAAACGGCGCCAATGGTTTCAACTGGTGTTCCGATGATAGCTGTAAGTAATTCTGCTATCAACTCTGGCGCCTTTTTGGTCGCTTCTATCGCACCAAAAGATATTGCAAGAACTTGACAATGCTTCTAAAACGATGACTGTGCATTGTTATGAAGCTCTATCGGATTGAATAGCTGTGAATTATGGAGCTGCTTATTTTCCTTCTGCTTCCCAGCATATTCGCATTCACAACGTATGCCGACGACGAGGAATTGGATACGCTACGGATATATTTCTGCTATGATATGTGTCCGTACTTCAAGCATCGCGACAAAAAGTTTGACTATAAGGTATGTATACTGTGCGAGATCTGCCTTTGTGAATTCTTGGAAGTATTCTTCTTTCCAAGGAAGTAGAGCAAAAATGCAAAAAAGGCATCCAAGAAAAGAAGGAATCTTGTGCGGCGTTTAAGAAACTGAGTAAGGACATTAAGGAAGATATAATAAAGGTAAGCAGCAATCGTTTTTGTCCTTTTCTTCGTACTCTGTAATGAAGCATTCAAGACATTGGAAAAGCTCACTTGGAACCAAATTTGCACCGGAAATTGCAGGGTACTTGGCATTCCAAGTTGGGCGCCATAACTTCTTTAAACAAGTGTTGAGGTGAATACCATATCATCAATTTCTCGGTCATATAAAAGCACCTCTATATCTTCTGTCAGAGATACATTGTTCCAATCTTGCGAAAGCAATTACTGGTGAGGCCTACTGTAAACAGTGCTGATGTCAGATTACTTACTTATTCTATGCGAAGTGAAAAAAACTTAATATTGAATTTAATATCGAACTTTGGAGATGATTTGAGAACGAGTAGAACACATAGAAACTGCAGTTTTTCTAAACGAACCAAAATCTGAGTGCTCTATTGGATACGAAATGGTTACCAAGAAAGAAAAAGAAAGAAGAAGAAAAAAGCCAGACACGAACAAGAGAGAGTGGTGTGGGACAGGAACGGTAAGCGGAAGAGCAACCAGAAAAAATGATGGTGGGTACGGTAAGTACAGTAAGTGTACGAGCACAATTTTTTTTTATCGAATGATCACGATAGTTCTTGAATTCCTCTTTAGCAAATTTTGAGTACCTGAGTCATCCTAGATATATATATAGCATTATAGCTCTATTTGAAAAATGTCCAAACACTTTGTCGCGGCTCCGCGATGCGAGCGCTCCTAGAAGTAGGAGGCGGGAGCACTGGTTGCTGCCGCGCTACACGACGGCGATAACGGCGCTTTCTTACGTTCGCCGCAATCGCCGCTGGACCTCTCCTCGCCTTGGCGCGTTGCCAAAAGCCAAAAGGCTATATATAGCGGCGGCGCCTCATTGCAGCGTCTGTTCGCTTTCGTTTTCGATCGATAATGTTTTCGTATGTTTTCCATTGTGCTCGCGCCTGGCAGTTAGCTCCCGCTTTCGATGTCTCTCTTGCGTTAGCGGTCGAGCGGATCGGAAGTTGTACTGTATTGTAATTCAAGACGGATTTGGATTATTTCGGACGAGCCACTTTTGGAGCTTTGAGATTTGGGATATTCAAGATCTTGTAAACTTCGGGAGCGGAGAGGTGTCGCGCCTGGTATCCGGCGACGCGCGGCGGATCTGTATAGGTGAAGCCTCGGGAGCATAGTTCCTTTTTGTGTACATAGTCATGCGCATTGGTAGCACGGGATGGGGCTCCCTGTCCCGTGTTGGGGTTTTTCTTTATCTGTAGTTTAGTATTGTAGCGTAGCGTCTGTTTGTTTCTTTTTATGTCATAAGGATAAAATGTTAGTAATTTAATCGCCTCTTCACGCGCTATGGCAAAATAATAGGCTAGGTCGCGTCGCATGTATTAAGCGGGCGAGAGCTTAGGTAACTCGGGTCAGATCTAGGTGCTTAGAGCCCACCGAGCCGCCACACACGAAAGCCCTTCCTTCAGTCAGTGAAAAGTGCCCATCAAGCATGCTCTGTCTTCCCCTTATGAAAGGAGTTCTAGGTGTAGTCGGTAAGACAACATGAACAAACCTCACCAGCCATCGCGAGTGGTAAGCGCATCATCTTCCAAACTTGGTTCTACAAATTTTGAGACCCGAAACAATCAAAGATTAGTTCCGCAGAAATAAGAGCTTCTTTGAAATCATCATCGACATAAGCAGTGCATCATGGCATCATATCACACGAAAAGAATCCAAATGAAAATGAATATCATTCGATCCAAAACGTCGTCACTTGAGAACGGTTTGCAAATCTCGCCTTTTTCCTAAATAAGGGAAGCTTTTTGCAAACAGTATTCACTACAACGATGAACTTCCAAATACGAATTGGAAAACCACTAAGAGACTCACTTTTTCATATGAGGATAAGTCGCAAATCATTGGGATTTTGTTGTGTTTGACATTTTGGTAAACATCGTCACTCCTGATTTTTTGCGAAAATGCAGAAAATGAATTTTCAATTGCATATTATCAAGGGTGGTGCCGAAAACAGTTGACCCATGTAACGCTTTAGGCTGCGTTCAGACTGATTTCGAAATCCGGGAACAGTTTCAGCGCAGCGCTCATTTCAAGCGCTGTGCTGGAACTGTTCCCGGACTTCGGGATCAGTATGAACGCAGCCTTAGATATGAAACTTACTTTCTCGGGCTCTAGCGAAGTTCTTACAGTAAAACTGAACTCTGGTGAAAATCCATTAATTCATGCCATCAAACGATCGCCCAAAATAGCACGATCTAGTTTTCCGAAAATGGCGAATATTTGAAATAAAAAAAAACAAGCAAATGAAACTTGTTTACAATGCTTGACGCAAGAAGGCTTTGGCAAAGAACAGTCTAAATGCTCTTCCATATCAAACAAAGTTTCATATCTGTATTAATATATTTTTCAATAAAGTGGAGTAGAACAGTGACTCTACTACTTGTTCGATTTGAGTTTCCAAGCTAAGCAAAATATCCTCTTTATGACTTGATGGTTTATGCATGGTTGTTTGTGGTTACAAGACTAAGAGTGTGTCCCCCAAATGCGACATCTTCTAACAAGTAATCCAAATTGAATCCTCAGTGCGAATCTAAGTTTGTTATATAAAGCAACAAAAGTCAAATGGCAAACAAAATTTGTGGGTTTGTAAGTTTTTAGCTTCTGACGTGCTATGTACAAATGTCTGGCTCAAATGGGATGCCTGTGCAGCTAATACGTATATCGCGAATTTGAACGACAAAATTGTATCGTTCATTCACAAGATAGACACAACGTATTTGTAAAAATTTGTGATTCGAGTACATCTATTTGACGAAATTGCAAACTATTGTATCGGGAAGACAGAATAATCAGAAATTTATGATTACAGAACAAAGCACACACATAAACTACAAACTGTCCCCAAAAAGATGTGCACACTGTTTAATCGTTAATAACTCTCTCATTGTTGTCTTTCGCCGAACTTGAGGTACCATTCTGTAGAACGAGGTTCATTTGGATTTACAGCATGGAGCAAATCAAATCCTTCTCCATTTGTAGGATTACGATATAAGCTTTCAGCATATAGCGCAACAGTGGAGAAGGCTTTTGAGAAAAGAAATTCCAAAAAAATTTGGAAATTTTTGTAGCAAATTCAGATGCTGCTTTCACCGTCACCTTTTCGAGTTCTTTCAATGGTATAACAGTGTTCAGAATAATATTGGAAAAACACTTGTTACTCTAAACGTAAAATAACTTGTGAAAGAAGCAATACAGCGAAATGGAAATTTCACATTCATAACTAGCTCAGCCACTCCAGTGCAAGAGTTTCTGGCTTGTTTGGTTTTCTTTCTGAGGCAAAAATCGCTTTCAATTCCCTAAAATCCTTCTCGATGTTTCTACCGTAATCCTACAATAATAAAGAGTGATTGATATTTTGCTCCATACTGTAAATCTAAGCACAACCTAGCCCTACATAATGGTGCCTCAAGGTCGCAAAAGACATGAAAACAAGTGAGTTATTAACAATCAAACAGTGTGCACATCTTTTTGGGACACCCTATAAAATGCATTGCAAAGGCGTCCTTTATATAGACAATGGAACGATCATCTGTCCTCTGCAACTGCTGAACGACATCCCAAAAAAATCACAAAAGAACATAATTTTCAGCATAACTATGTATTTAAGGTTACTTCACACTATTCAAAGTCCCTTAAATATAGGGAGACGCTCAGCAGATGAAAACGAAAGTGTACATTACAATCTACCATAAACATTTTAAAGCTTTTTCTTTGGAGATTTTCCTTAGTCTACTTTTTGCTCTTGGTGGCGCAAGCAGATTCGAAAATGGAAATATACATTGCCACACAACATAACCTTTTAACGCTTCTTCTTCTTCTTTTTCGTAGAACTGCCCTTGCTCTTCTTTCTTCTCTTGCTCTTGCTTCTCCTCTTTTTTTTCTTGGTATCTAAAACGTAAAAATAATAGGTGAGTTATACAGTTTCACTTCAAGAATTGAAAACTGCCTATAAGAATGCAAAAGAGATATATGGTGAGATGCGTTGGTATCTGTGCTGCGCTTAACTGCATACCTTTTTTACTTGGAGCTTTAGGAAGCGATTGAGAAGGCGTAACGGCAGGAATAGTAGGTAGAGCAGGCGATTGAGCATGAATTCCAGCACTTGTGGTACTCTTTGTGGTACTCGTTGTAGTACTCGAAGTAGTACTCGCTGTAGTAATCGTTGTAGTAGTCGTTGTAGTAGTCGCTGCAGCAGTTGTCGTAATCGTTCCTCCTTCAGTTTTGGTTGCTCCATCGCTACAATTTTTCCGACACTCTTCTTTGGCTAAAAGATTGTTCTTGTTTCCGTTGCAGCCTCCATAGATGAACTGTTCGCATTCTCTACTTGTCTGATTGTACCACCATCTAAACGAAAAATCCTTGATTAGCACGGGAAATTGGGGCAAATAAATGCTCAAGCATCTCTAATGCATTCACGATATACTCTTTGTAGGCACCGCCCACCCTAAATTAGGGGTCTTGAGCTTTTGGCAGCACCTAGTAGACCCCTATCGAGCCACCGCACAAGTCGCAGCTCAAAATGTCGCTTCGTAAGCGAGAAAATCGCTTCGGAATAGCCAAGATCATGAAGACACCAAGACGGCGACGTCTTCTCCAGTAATGCCCGCCCCTCCTGCGCGCCCATCCAAAACGCCTCAGACAACCGGCATGGGGGTTTCCCGAAACGGAAGTGTCGGTTTAACGCGATTTTCGACTTCATATTCAAAATTAGGGTGAGAAGGCCTCGAAACGACAAAACATGGAAGTCGATAGTCTAGGTGGAAGGTGCCCTCAAGCAAAACCGCGCTTTGAAAAGCTGCTTTAGCCTAACTTTCAACAGCTGCAACATTTGCGATAATTCAAGCTTTATGGTTTCAAGTGACTGTGCTGCCGTTGTACATCTACGATCACTAAAATTTTTACCTGGGGGAAGCTGCTCTGCATCGACCCACAGCTTTCAACAACGAGCATATTTCGTCGCTTTTTTGCTACAGCTTACTGGCTGTTCGAAGTTCAAACTGGGTGAACTTGACCGCTTTGGGAAAATTGGAAAATTAAACCCACAATCGAAATTATCTCTTCGTTCAAATTTGAATTTTGTTTCGGATGTTTGGATTTTGTTCAAAATGGAAAGTTGTACTAAGTAGTTTCAGATGCAATTGGACCATTTTCAACATAATTTCTAAAAGAAAACGATTATGTGAATACTTTTTCTTGTCTGTGGGAGACTCGAGCACGCAATTATTTATCTCAATGTGGCACTGTTCGATCTCTCATAATTTGTGTTTGGCTGAACTGCACAACTTTCTTAGTTCAGAATAATAACAGTATGGCTTGCAAAGGTTCCCATGTGTGATCATCTATAACTGATAGAGATGGTGGTATTTTTACTTTGGAGGCATGAGCACTAGACACATAGTTTTGGGAGTGTAGATCCGGTCATTCATTGCTCCTGAATTTCAAAGAAACGAGAAAGATTTTGCAAATCAATTCCTGTTATCCATAATTACAAGGGATGATCTAATACTGTGTTTGTACGATTCAGAATTATCGCATCCGAGGTGGACGGAGTGGAGCTGCCTTACAGCCTTGTGAAGATATGATGTTCGGTTGTCCCTTCGAGGTTAACTTGGAAAGTGCAAGTGCCCCCTGCATGAAAAGGCGGTCAGGCTTTGAGAACCAGGGCCCGGCACAGCTGGCACCGGGTCAAGCTGGATATCGTTCTTAGGGAGAAAGCAAAGAGGATATCGTTTTTCCGGGGTCCTGGGCGGAGAAGAGCCGCAAAAAATGCCGCCGGCATGGTGTCCATCAAACAGACGAAGGCGTTGTTTTCAGCCAATATGCAATAGTGTGACACCAAATTTGGTATGTGCATGCGCTTGGGGGGACCCGAACTATGGCCCAAAAATTTATCAAAGCTTATGTGAATAAAAGCTGTGCCGAACTTTTTTCTGAATTTGCTGGCACCCTGCCAGTTGAGTGCCAGCTGAGCTGGCACCGACGCTTTGCCCACATAAGTTTCCATACTTTTTTACATAAAATGTATCTCACTGTAAAATTTTACATACGGAGAAGAAACTCATAACGTTTTCTTTTCAGCGTTTTATAGCCATCTGAAAATTACTCAGTCTGCTCCGCAGTCGAAAAATCGGCTTTTTCTGCTTCTCAAGATGTGATTCAACCACTTAAGAAACTCAGAAAGCTTTGAAAAGTTGTTCGATGAAGTCAGCATGCATGAAAACCCTACTACATACTCTTACATGATCTAAAAATAATGCGGGTCTTCAAAACAGGAGGACTTCGCACAAATTTTCAAGATCAAATGGAACTTCGTTTTGAAAGTTCCCTGGTGCCAGCTCGTGCCGAGGCCTGTTGGGAACTCCTGCGATTATCAGGCGCGATTCTTATCGCCAGATGGACATGAGTTAGCATACATTTAGCGTTTTATGAGTTCGAAACATTCAAAATGGCCAGAGCAATATTCCAGATAGTGCATCAACTCAGTCTTAGTATCTCGAAGTGTAAAGTTTGGATGTCGGAAATTCAAGATCTTTGAAATATTCGACAGAGCAAATTCCTGAATATTTGGCCAATTTTCCCCAAAGCGGTCAAGTTCACTAAGTGGAAATTTCAAACAGCCAGTGAGCTGCAGCGCTTCATCTGGTATTTTTTGAGTTGGTGTGGCAGCCAGAGAAATCGCGTTTCTTGACCGTTTCTATAATGATAGCGTAACAGAAAATCTTACACTCAAATTATTTCCGGTACACTTGAAACCGTATTGCTTGCGGTGCTACAAGCAGTTCTCCGTGCACAGGTGTGTCTACCTGTCCCTGCGCTCTCCGACGCGAAAACGTGTCTGGCTGACCCCCGATGAGTGCGACTCATTGGCTGAGGTGGCACCTGCCCTAGCCATCTCAGGTATCGCTTCTCGGCCATTTGGCTAAGATCAAAGTTTAGTTTCTGTTCTTATCGAATTAACCTTCGATAGAGTCTCGAATGAGTCTCGTTAAGGTTATTTGATTTTTGGAACCGGATGGGGTTGCGGGCTTGCTCCCGCCCCATCACGGGTCGGCCCAGCGTTGCACTGCTGCAGGGATCGGCCCACACCCCCATGGGGTCAACAAGTTCGAAAGCGTTTGCAAGAGGTCCCTTTCATCATGAAAATTCTTCGTATCTTCGAAGCGCAAACACTAAAATTTTCTGAATGGAGAACAATGCTTCCACTGCTGAGTTTTGGCACGCAGAGGCTATTGGCAAAATAATTCCTTTCCGGCTAAAGCACGTTTTGAATCTGTTTATAAGCGCCATGCCTTCTGAGCTGATTTTTCGAGGAAGTTTTTGTATCGGAGCTTCTTTCTTGACAGAGGTGAACCCTTACTATCTGTTCAGCGTCCGTTGCACCATATAAAACTCTTTTATGTCAAGTGCTTTGCTAATGCTCTCAAAAATGCCTTTGAATACCATCAGAAATATTGCTAATAGCTTCGCGCAGGTTACGAAGCATTTTGAATGGACATTGCTGGCCATGACTATAAAGCCACCCTAAAAATTACTGTAATTTGCCCTCACCTGGACTAAATTCCTGAAAAACCACTATTCTGCTTGTAAGCCAACATCATATCATTGACCAGAATGGCTTCTAATTTTATTGATTTTGGCCGGAAAAAAGTGAAAACTCAATAAACGTTTTGCGAAAGCTGGTCACAGCTATATATCCACCTCCATTTTCGATCGATATTACATTTGGACCTGTTTCTTGATTTATTACATCTGGAAGCTGTCGCCTCTTGAAAAGAATATCCACACTGCATTTTTTGCTTCAAAATGCATAAAAGGTTAGACTGATAGACAAAACTGCCTTTTTACCAAATTCATCCACTTGGTCAGGTCGAATGAAGGTTTCAGGATATTCTGAACTTTTGCATTGAATATGGTGAAAAGCGCTTGAGTCAACATTTGGAGTCATTTTAGATCCTGCGCACAACTGAACTGCATATAAAGTGTTTTATCTCCGATGTTGCAAGTACCTCTTTGCAAAGATGTTGACAACTTTTGCATGGGTTCGTCGCCATGCAAGCAAAGTGTCAACTCCCCACCAGAAGTTTTCGCGCGTCAGAAATCGAATTTTGCGTTTCAGAAGCGCGCTTACACCTCGGTAAGGTGAGGCTTGTTTATCAATATCAGCGACTACGCAATGTTAACTCAAGCAATTTTCGTCATATTTATTGCAAAGGCTAGCGAGCCCTAAGACCTTCATGCGAGTTAAATAATTGCGCGGAAATTCGGTGAAAAGGCAGTTTTTTCAAACAATGTAACTTTTATACATTTTGAAGCAACAGATGCAGTATGAATGTTCTCTTGAAGAGACAACAGCCTCCAGGTGTAAACAAATATCTCATATTTTGGTGCTGTATATGTACAAAAAATTTTAGGATTACAAAATTTATTATTGATCGAAAATGGGAGGTGCTTTATAGGTTCGGACAAAATCAATGGAATTGGGAACCGTCTTGTGAGGGTATAGTGGTTTTTAAGACATTTCTGGTCAAGAGAGGTGATTTTGACCCTCAAATTGCCCTAATTTTTTGGGTGGCTTTATAGCTATGGCCAGCACTGTATATCAAGTTGCCACAACATGTACAGACTTTTTATTTTTTAGAGTTGGCGTCAAACATCCCACAAAATTCTTGGATGTTTCGGATATTGAATTGACACCGTACGATTGTTCGGTTAACTTTAGGAAATACCCTACTGGTCCGAGACTGCAGAAGTGGGGAAAATGGCCTGGTTGTGTTTCTGTTTAGCCACAATTCGCACTGCTTTTACTCGTGAATCTCAGATGTACGGCAATGCGTTTAACTGGAATTGCAAGTGGTTATCTGAAACCTTTCCAACTTAATAGCTTTTTTTTTATCTGCGAATTCGAGGTCGTCACAAATGCTTATAAACCGTTTATTCTTTCGAAATGGTGAGAGTAAAATTTTTTTGATTTTATTACATTTCATTGCTAGACTCTTCTTCCTTCATGTAAATTTGGCCAGGGTCTTTCTTGCAGCTCATTACTTTCAACTGCGAACAATTTTTAATCCTTTCTCAAACCAATAAAGTTTACTTTCACTTACGTATTCCACCATGAACCATTTCTAATTCTTCTAGCTCATCTGGACTAGATTCTACCATTGCCTAAATTACGACAGCTGACGTCTTCTAATTTCAGCATAATTTTTATAGCCAAGGGGACTCATAAAGTATCGTTTTTGGTAATCAAGTGCAGAGTAACAAGGCTAACAACTGATGTGTTTGGTGCAAAATGACAACATAGAACTCGTCTTCAAAGATGTGTAAATGGTAAAGAATGTCTTTGATTCTCTAAAAAGTTTCAATATGGTCTTTGTCATTGAGGCTTAACTAGAATAAACGGTACTCATTTAGTCACTTCGATTCAAGAAGACAGCGTCAAAGTAAGTCCTGACACAATAAAGTACTTGTTACAAATATCTACCTTGATTTCCCACGCAATAGCTTGAGACAGTTGCTCCGCAGGTACGTTCCTGGGCAAATGGATTCTGAAAACGCACTCCGTAGTCTTTCCATAATACAAAGTACCCTAAAATCCGTCATATAAGAGCGGACTTATCTGCAGTTTTGGCAGGAAAATCGATGGAAAAACGCCGCAAAGGGTGTCACAGATAAGTCCGCCTAAATCGTCTCGCAGATACGTCCGTCTGTCCTGAGCATGAGCAAGCGCGACCTGGGAGCACAGACGCGCGCGACCGCTCGCGTGGCTTGCCAGTGTAGATTTAAACGAGGCCGCGATATCGCCTGAAAGAAAGAGCTCAAGGATTCGACAAGTCGTACAGTCTACTTGGTGGTCGTCTCGGATTCTTCATCGCGTACGCTGGATAGGTGAGTTCTTTTCCTATATATGACACCTGTATGAAATTGAGCGATTTCTGCCGATGAAAAGAATCATAATAGGTTTCATCATTGCATCATTGCAATCATCTCAACTTATCATTCATCTTATCGTTTTGGAGGCGACAATGTTTTCACTACATCTCTCGAACCCGTACAGGCTACAACCCTTGAACCTGACTCCTACATTTTTGCTTCCTCTAATGTTTTCATGTTCTGAATGTAGCCTCTGTTGACCCATGCCATACGGCTTTTGTCAAATGCTTTCTTGAACGGAAGAGTGACAGTCTGAGAATGCTCAACCTTAGCAAAGCATTAGGCTTCCTTGTTATTTTCCTCAATTGTTGTTTCATTAAGCCTGTACATCCAAGACAAAAGATAGTGTAGTCAAATTTGATACCGCCTGCTTTTCCTTGTATAAAAGAGTAAACCTTTCGATGACCAGCGCAGATTTATGTGACTCCGCGTGATTCCAGTGTGCAATGACCGGTAACTCAGCGAAGTTCACAATCACGCGGGGCCCTTTCCAGCATAGTCTCACATGCTTTGACTTAAGCTTTTCAGGTGTCTCGCATCTCAATGGCTATCAGAAGGAAGTCCTACACCGCGCTTTTTAAGCTTAACGTGGTGCAATATGCCTTGGAACATGGAACATCGGCTGCCGCTGTTCACTACGAAGTCTCTGATCGTCTGATTCGAAGATGGAAGGCCGATAAGGAGAATTTGGAGGATATGCCACTGAGGAAACGCGCCAACCGTTATGGGAAGCAAAAGGTAGAGGAGATCGAGAAAGCTGTCTATGCATGGATTGTGCAGTGGCGGGAAGCAAGCAGAGCAGTGCTTGTCGAGGACATTCGAGCGAAGGCATTGCAGCTAGCGCAGGAATCTGGCCGGCAGTACTTCAAGGCAACGGAATCGTGGTGCAAACGGTTTATGATGAAAAGGAACTTAGTCATTAGAAGAAGAACCACCATCGGTCAGCCACGTTTTGATGATGATAAACATGGAATGGAAACTGAATAAAGATTTGTTGCTTCGGTTCATTCTGAGACCAAAAATGGCAGCGCAATTGCGCATCCTTCTTGTTTTTATGTGAAAAAATAAGGCGGACTTATCCGCGGGACTTGGCGGCGCGCGAGGCGCGCGAGGCTGTCACGAAAGCGGACTTAACTGAGAGCTCTTTTGCGGTCTTATCGGCGAGGCGGTCTTTACTGCGAGCCGATCTTATATGACGGATTTTAGGGTACCCTATTTTCCGGCGTATAAGCCGCAATTATCTTCGTCGCGCGCGGGCTGATGCGAGATGATGGTCGCGATGTGCGAAGCCGCGCAAGCAGCCAACTACCACCTACTTTACCTAGTAGCCTGATTGTAACTTTCTGCTTTCGCTCTTTCTTGTGGAAGCATTGAAAGCACCATTGGAACATCAACATCATCATCAACAATAATCAAAATCGAATGAAATAGCAGCGGTTTTAACCTCAGTAACATCTTTAAAGACAAAAGAAAACACGGTCAACTCCATTGTATCCTTGAGGAAAAAGGCAACCCAAACACCCCAAAATCGTCCGAATCTCTGGAGAGAATAAAGATTTATCTGAAAACGTGAACATGCGCAATGAAAAGCAGTCACAACATGCAGCGAGTTTTCAGTTTGTTAGATCAAAACTTTCTTTTCGAAGGCTCTTTTGCGCCATTGTTCGCTGCGGCGAGTGCGGCTTATATAAGGTGCGGCTTATAAAAAGGAAAATAGGTATATAACATTGTTTAGATGTATGAGGCTTGATGAGAAAACCCGACATCGAGATCGGAAGTTCTTGCGTAATTTCGAATCTCTCGGTCGGAAGTTTCTTGAACAATGGAGGGGTGGAAAAGGGGGTGGGGAGGGAATGAGAAAAGCATACCTCCCTAAAAGTCCTGGATTTCTCTTGTCTTTGTTCAAGGTTACTTCAGCACATCGCGGTGGTGGTGGTGGCCTGGTCCCCTTCTGAAGTAACCATCACATCATAGATTATGCGCGAAATATAATACAACCCAACAGTGGGAGTTTTTTTTACTGTTAAATATAGTGGCATGGAGAAACCACTGCAAAACCAGCCCTCCCTCAAGGCCTTTCGTTGTCCCACCCCGAGATTTGGCCCTTTTCTTATGTATAGCGTGAGTTTTTTCTCCTTATTTATCTACCTAATCGCAGGAGCAGTACTGGCATAAGAAAAGTTTGACCTTGATTCTGATGAAGGCTTCTTTGTTTTTTCGGTCGAGTTTCGTATTTCCCGGAGGAGCAATTCCACCAATCTCATGTAGTTTTTTCAAGGCGCCATACCTGCAATCACATTCAACCTTCATCTCATCGGCAAACATAAAATAATTTAGATATAAGGCAAAACATTCATTTTTTTTGTTTGAATCAGTATAAAAATATTAGGTTGTCCCGAAAGTTCGTTCGCACCATTTTCAAAAAATCATAACTTCTTTGCATCATAATGATTTTGCGCAGTTTAAATTTTGCAAGAAAGCGTAAAGCATGTAGTTTCCAATGGTCCCCTGGCGACTTTCCAGCATGTTCAGATTGCAGAGATAAAAATAAAAGAACGAGAACATCCGAAATTCGGAATTTTTGAGCAAAAATTTTAAAAATCTAGAAACTGCGCGATAAAATCCAGAAAAGCCATTATCATAATTTTTCTTATATTTGGTTACTAACTGAGTTAAGTTTGTGCTGATCGAGCTCTTTTTTCAAGAGTTATGATTTTTTGAAAAAAAATGCTGAAAAATCAATTTCTTAAGAATTCTTAGGAAAGTGATTTTTCGGATTTTTTTTTTCAAAAATTCATAACTTTTGAAAGAAGGGCTCGATCAACACAAACTCAATTCAGTTTGTAATCAAATATAAGAAAAATCATGAAAATGGCTTTTCCGGATTTTATCGCGCAGTTTCTAGATTTTTAGAATTTTTGCTCAAAAATTCCGAATTTCGGATGTTCTCGTTCTTTTATTTTTATCTCTGCAATCTGAACATGCTGGAAAGTCGCCAGGGAACCATTGAAAACTACATGCTTTACGCTTTCTTGCAAAATTTAAACTGCGCAAAATCATTATGATGCAAAGAAGTTATGATTTTTTGAAAATGGTGCGAACGAACTTTCGGGACAACCTAATAGAATGAAGGCGAACTGTTGCAGACAAAATTCTATCAGCCATTGAAAGCTACGGCACAAAGTTTTCGACTTATAGCCACAGTGGAAAAATTATTTGAACAGCTGTAAGAAGTCAGATTTACACATAACATCACCGAATCTAACGTTTCTCAAGAGTAGCGCACTATTTATTCAGTCGGTAATTGTGGAACAGCTAACGAATGTTTTGATAAGGCAAAAAAACAATATGTGCGTACAAATTAGCGTGTGAAGTTGCCTAGAGTTTTCTGCTCCAGCGCCGTACATGCGTCGTAAAAGCGCATTGATTACAGTCGTATTATTTCTGATCATGTGTGTCATTGCACAAACAGTCCACCTTTGGCTTCCCATCCTGGATTCGTGGGAGAAACAATCTTTCAGATGAGTGTTTCCAAGTGTTTTTAACATTTTCTTCTCTTTTAAGTACTAATCATCTCAAATTGATGTAATCGATAACAGTCGGTAAGTCTCTTGCGCTTCTGCAATCGCAAACCCAGGACGAGGACGCCAAAGGTGGACTGTGTGTGCAAAGACACGCATGATCATATGAGATGATTCGACTGTAACTTTCACTTTGGTGCGAGAGTCTTTGCGCCGGCAACTTTGAACGTTTCCTATGTAGACGAGATACTTAAGTAAGGTACTACGAAGGACCCGCTCTAGCATGAGTGCACACGAAGATTAGTTCCAACTAGTGATTGTCAAATTTCAAAGATGGCTAGCTGTAACTAGGTCTTTGTTAATAAAAAGCGTAAAAAATCAAATGACTGGCCATTCCACGCCCTCCAATCCAAGAAATTTCTGTCGCTCTCACCCCCTCTAACAGAATTCATTCCTTTGCCATATGATACATAGGGTGTCGCGTCTCGCGATGCAAGGCGCTCCTCGAAGTACGGAGGCCGGGGGCATCGATTGCCGCGCTATCCGGCGACGATTACGGTAGCCGAGACGCGTGTTGCCGCGATCGTCTTCGGACCTCTCCTTAATTGGCTCGTTGCCAGCCAGGCGGCTATATAAAGCGGCGGCGCCTCACTTACAGTCTGCGCCAATCCTAATCAGGCCAAAAATGGCATGGCGGTAGTCCGCGTCGCTAGAGTTTCGCGGTCACGCCCACGGCCTGCTCCTCTGCTCTCTCTCTTCAATCCTTTTGCTCTCTCCGACAGCTCGCATATGCAGCGCAGACCGCTAGCGCTGCGAGCGCGCAAACTTACGCCAACGGTTTGGCCTGATCCCGATTGGAGCAGACTGTAGGTGCCCTTGTCCGTCTTCGTTTTCATTGATTGATTTCATTTCTTGTTCGAACATCATTTCAGCCGCCTTGCTCCTGTCCTTTTTTGTAAAAGCAGTTGAGCCAGAAGTTATTTGGATTGAAAACGGATTCTTTTTGTTAGCGCATTCAGACGCGCCGTAGTACTAATTGGAGTTGCATGGAATTCTAACATCACAGGAGCTGGAGGGGACGTGCCGTCGTCTAATACCTTGGTGTTGGGTGGATTTGTTGCGAAACCTCGGGGCCAGTTGTATTCTAGCTTTCCCCAGACGCGCATCGGTAGCATGGGACGGGCCCTCGTTCCGTGTTTCTTCAGTAGTAGTGTAGTAATTTGTTTTTAGTTTAGTATTTTTGTCTATTTCTAATTGTAGTGTAGTGCCATAAGGATAAACCACTCGAATTATTTCACTTTCCTTTGGTCGCGCGTTAGGTGCGCAGTAGGCTAGGTACGTCGCTTAGTATCGGGCGAGCATCAGGCCTCGGGTAACATCTAGGTGCAAGAGCCTACCGAGTCGCCACATAGGGTATTACCACTCCACAATCCCTCCCTACTTTTCGCCTCTTCACCAAAGACGTTCTTCCACGTCTCCATCACAGCCTCATCGATCCATTCTCTGCAGAACCAATAATTTTTATTACTTTGTCGTAAGAGGTAATAGAAACAGGATAGATGGGTACCGTAATTGTTTAAAGCTTAAGAATGTAAAGCTTCTTTCCAAGCTTACCTTCGAGGATGCTCATGTGCTGCCCTAAATTCGCTAGGGAATTTTGTCTTCATTCTTTTTTCCACTCTTTGTTTCGTTGAATGAGACTTCCCCAACCGTAACTGTCCTTTACACCGTAACCGTTACTGTAACTGTCCTTTACATTTAAAATCCCCTCCCACCTTCATCCTCCTTCCCTTTTCTTCACCTCGTCATCACTACGTCCAACATGGTTACAATCAGGGTCAAGCAAGGGGTGTGGCACACGATCGCTGGTTACGACCCCCCCCCCTCTGATTGCTGTCTTAATAAGACCCCCCTAAACTATACACTTAAAATAGCACTACTTGAAGGCCCTGTCAAACATAATGGGCAACATATCCATAATTAGCATGTCAAATAACCCCTGTAGACAAAGTGTGAGCAAATTCTGAAGATTCAAGATACAGGCTACCTGAGTGAAATGGTCAAATTCCAACACGGTTAACTTTGTTTTAAAGGTGAACTAGCTATCCGTTTTTGCACTCAAGACAAAGCACTACTCCTTCTTTGTCCACCTCAGGAATCCCGCTTCAGAAGACCTCTAAACTGTGGAATTAGAAGCCAACCAAAATCTCGTTTTTCCCATTTTTCGCTGTTGATCGCTGTGCTTTCACCAAATATTACTCAGAGCTAAGAAAACGAATTAGGCTCAAGTCGCTCCTGTGAAAACTAGGAGATCTAGACGACGCGGCCGCAGCTTTTGAGGGGGTGTGCCGCACCCCATTAACTATATTAAAAAAACATTTTTAGCGGACAGTACTTATATGAATCGATAGCCTAGATCTCCTAGTTTTCACAGGAGCGATTTGAGCCTGATTCGTTTTCTTAGCTCTGAGTAATATTTGGTGAAAGCACAGCGATCAACAGCGAAAAATGGGAAAAACGAGATTTTGATTGGCTTCTAATTCCACGGTTTAGAGGTCTTCTGAAGCGGGATTCCTGAGGTGGACAAAGAAGGAGTAGTGCTTTGTCCTGAGTGCAAAACGGATAGCTAATTCACCTCTAAAACAAAGTTAACCATGTTGGAATTTGACCATTTCACTTAGGTAGCCTAGTATCTTGAATCTTCAGAATTCGCTCACACTTTGTCTACAGGGGTTATTTGACATGCTAATTATGGATAGGATACGAATATCATGTTACCCCTATTATCAGATTACCCAACTACGACCCCCTCCCCTTTTGACTCCTCAAAACGACCCCCCAGGTGTGGCGTGCCGCACCCCACGCTTGACCCTGGTTACAATCTCATTCTCTGCAGAAGCAACAATGTTGAGCTCCAAAATGCTCTTCGTACCAACGCGGAAATTCAAAATTGTTCAAAATGAGCGAATCATTGCTTACAATAAACAGGCTATAATATCACCAAATTTGGTGAATGTCTGCCAACGGGACATCGGAACAATGTACGGAGACTAACCAGTAGCCACCTTGAGAAAGCCCAGGAAAGCAGACTCATAATTTCTCCCTTCGTTCATATGATATTTTGACATTTTGTATTTAACTTCTGTTCACATCTCCGATTTCAATCATAAGCCCATAAGCGCTTCACCCTTTTCCCTTCTGCAGTAACAAGTCCTAAATTTGTGCAGTCCTGCACCATCCAACAGGACTGCGGAAAGGTGTTCACTCATAGCTGAAATACGGCCAGAACTTAAATGCTTGCTGGGTTCGACTCCAATAGTGTACGCAAAGCTCTGGGGAATCGGTTTCAGAGTCGAAGATGTGAGAAAGATGTGCTCTATCACCGTAGTGCCTAAAATAAGCCAATATGCAAATGCTTTGTAAGCGTTCGCGTTAACACTCATAATTACATTGCTTTTACTTCGTTGTTTGTAAAAATCAAGTGGTAAATTCGCCCGAACTTCTAGCTTCTAGCAGTAGCTTTTTCAACTTACTTTCTCCAAGGGTTTATCGTTCCTCGCTGTGATTGCTTGTCAAAAGATGGCACATTGCCCGAAGTATAAAGCTGAAACAGAGCTCACATTTACAAATCTCTTTAACAAGAGATACGCTTATATCTCAAACATCGATAACAAGTTTTCCACAAATTCGTACGCGCTGCAAAATTTCTTCAAATTTCTTCCAAAGAAATTTTGTCTTCTTCCGATAGTCTCATTTTCAAAAGACACATGAAGTTAAAAACTTGAATAGTTTCAATACTTTTCTTCTGCTGTACAGGTTGTTATAGGTAACACTTTATTGTTTAGCGTTTTGACACAACGCCGTCGTCAGAGGCCTAAAAGGAGTCAGTCACTTCGATTCACGATTTTGCCAAACATCTCCTCCCACTCGACCATTCGAATGGTCTTCAGTGGAAGCAGGAAGTCTGCGTGTATTGACTCACCAGAATGCGCCGCAGTAATTTGTAGCAGTACAGCTGCTTCAGAAGTGTTCGAACCGAACGCGGTGTTGAGAAGAGACAGTCTTGTCAACGACTGCGATGTTGAGAATAAGCAGTCGCGATGTCAACGACTGCTTATATAGAGCAAATGATCTTTTTTGCAACGGCATTAGATCTCCAGTTATAGACAATTGTTCAATCTTTGTTGATCTTGGGGTCAAGGACAAGAATGTAGGATGCCCCGAGCCTCTCTAGCGGAGATATGATTTTCGTAGACCAAGATTATGCACTTAATGTCGAAATCGGTACCGCTGCGACCTATCTTTCTATGCTTTCCTAGCGGACTCATTAGTTCTGCCACTTTTTGTTAGCCAAATGCTCGCTTACGCGCGCCATAATGGTCTACCTGTTTCATCGATGTATATGGCAGAGATCGCTAAACATTTTACTTGATACACAACGGCAAACTTCGAACAATCTCCAGCTTTTCCATAAGGAGAGATTGCGCAATTTCGCGTGATACAAGTCTTGTCATAAATTTGGTCACGTACCAGTTCAATGTTGTTTCAGGGAAAATTCACCAAGACAACTTCGTTTTCCAACTGTGCTCGTATCAAGCTTTGTTTTAGCGCATACTGACCTTCTCGGAGATGTAAGGAAGGCACAGAGGAATTTTGCTCAAGTTCTGTTCACTAGCCCTTGCTGACGTCCTCTTTGTTTGTCTAAGGCGCACAGTATAACCATTTGCAGTCATTATTTCAGTTGCTATCCTCAGTGATTCCTGTTTTTCGTTTTCGCCGCTGCAGATGTTAATTTCGATCATATTCCGGATTATGACGCGTTTCACTGTTGGGGCGGATTGTGCATGCAGAAGAATATCCTTGCTGGTCTCTTTTCTGTACCATTTGACCTGCACCGTGTCGTTCACCACCATCAGCTGCGCATCCAGGAACGGTAGCCAACCATTGCATGGTTTCTCTCGCGTAAAGCTAATGAACTGAGATTGTTGATTCAATAGTCTTGAACACTCGTCCATTTCGGACTGTGTTGAAGTAACGATACAACAATCGTTGTGTATCAACAGTACATAAGCGGGTTTCGCGATAGCACAGCCTGTTCAATTGTGCTTATGAAGCAGATTGCTAAGACGGGTGCCAATCGTTGGCCCATTGCCAAACATTTAACTTGTGCATAGTATCACCCCGACCACTTGAAAATAACACAGCGCAAGCACTCCTTGATGAGTGTTATGACGCCTGCTTTAAGAGCGTACATTGTCATAGTTTTACTAGGCAGTTCCAGCATCTCAGAAAGCGCTTGCAATGCGTCTTTATTGGATACATTGGTATACAATGAAGTTACTTCAAACGACTCTACTATGCAATTTTGACTGAAATTTGTCTGACGGCAGAAGCTCTAGGAAACGACTGGTACTAGCCAAATGGGCGGGTATCTTGTTTAGAGGTTGGCTCACGATTTTGTTAAGGAACCGTAATATGCGATCGGTTGGACTGTTGGCGCAGCTGATGATGGGCCGGATCTTGTAAGACGTGGCTGTGACGGATTGCATGTCAAACGGAGAGAGTTCGTGTGTCTAGTTGGACTATAAAATACAGGGCATGTGGGAGTTTCAAGCTTGAATCTATCTCAATAGATAGTCACAGCCACGTCTTACAAGATCCGGCCCATCATCAGCTTTCAGGAAGACCAGCTTCTTTCCCTACCTTTTCCAAACACGGTTCAACCTCTTGCATTGTAAGAGAAGCTCTCTTTTAGTTGCTGGTTGATAGAGGGTAGCGGAACGAAAGCCGCCAGTTTGAGCCGCCTTTCACGGCCAACTGGTCCTTCCGCAGTGTTGTTGCATGTCGTGCCAGGACCAGCAGTCCGCGAAGGCGGCCAAACTGGCGGCTTTCGTTCCCCTACCCGTTGATAGACGGTGTTATGTGACAAGTGATTCCACTGAAGACCATTCGTTCATGTTTTGAATGTTTTCGCCCTTTGATCTAGGTAGATATGGCAGATGTGTAAGTAGATGGTCGGAGGAACAAATGTCACTCTTTAAGATTTTAGGAGGAGGACATGTTGCTGGTAACTGCCACAGAACCACGCAGCTCTACAGGTCGTAAACCTACCAATTCAGATCAAAGGATAATAAAATTTCCTGGCAACAGTATTATAAAAAATTCCGAAAACTTACATATGGTGACATTCCTGTATTTAGTTTTCCAATACCACCAAACAAACTGGCAGAAAGTCACATAATTTTTAAATCTGCTTAGTATAAGCTTTCTGCGCGGTCACAAATCTACCTCAAAGAGGAGCCATGGTCATTCATCTTTTTTCAAGTTATGAATATATCTGAAGACTATTGTCGGACAAAGACAACAGCCGTCGAGGCGCGAACGCAGTCCGTGTATCTGCGCCCTTGCAAACCCTATGCCTTAGGCTAAGGGCATACCTCACGCGATTTCAGTCGCTACGCGATCTGGCAATTTGCCAGATACCTTTAAATTCAATACTGGCAGACCCCAAATGCACAGAATATTTACATTCGGTAAATTGAAAAAATGTCCTATATTTCGTACCCTCAAGGGAGACTTCAGGATAATCGAAGTCACAGAGTCTTCGTTTTCAACATGTTTACCCCCCCCCCTCTGCTTCTTAGACATTCAAAACTTATTACTCAAAAAGTACTTACCTCTTGAACTTCATTGTTTGAGTCAAACGTCACTCTACTTTTTGGAAAAGGTTGTACCTTGGTTGCGGTTTCGAAAAATGACCTGGATTTTTGCAATAAGCTGGTTCTTCAATTACACCCTTGACGTACCTTCCGTAGCCGTGTGGATTGGATGTCGACATAAGATTTGGTGTATCTTGGTGAACTGCAAATCTGCTTGCAGGTACAGAACTTGGTGAGAAATATGCCAAAGATCGTGAGAATACATCGGTCAACTGCAAATATTTTCTGTTTAGCAATTCTTTGTGCATTCTTATTCCTTCTAAGACACCACACATTCAGGCAAGGTAGAACTTATCGGAATTACTACAACCTCATCAAACACCTGCAGCTTTCAAAATGATACTAAATGGGACACAAATTCAGCGATTTGGGAGAAGTGTGGATCTCCTTGATTACACCGGACGACGCTAATTACCACCTTTTCTATGATATATTTTGAACAAAAGTCTTAGTCATTCCCATCAAAATCAGTGCCTCACAAGATTCCAGAATGTTGGAAAAAATTAGAGGACGACCAACTAGGCGGTGCTTTTGATACTTACCGAACCGCAAAACGAGCGTAGATCATCGGATGTCGAATGCGTACTCCTTTCGGCTGAGCTACATTCGTCAGAACGGCTCCTTTCCACGGTAATACCGGATTGCCGACTACAATGATACAGATTCATTTACAAGTAATTCCTGCTAAAGGCTACAGGGAGAGGTTGTAAGAGTGAAGTGCACTGATTTTTTGTAAAATACGTCTTAGGACACTATAATTTCCTACGACTTATCGCCGTAGGAAATTATAGTGTCCTAAGACGTATTTTACAACCTAATAAATAGAGTGTCTGACTTGGGTCCCTGGAAACCTAATGTACGAAAATTCAGCTACCCTAAAATCCGTCATATAAGATCGGCTCGCAGTAAAGACCGCCTCGCCGATAAGACCGCAAAAGAGCTCGCAGTTAAGTCCGCTTTCGTGACAGCCTCGCGCGCCTCGCGCGCCGCCAAGTCCCGCGGATAAGTCCGCCTTATTTTTTCACATAAAAACAAGAAGGATGCGCAATTGCGCTGCCATTTTTGGTCTCAGAATGAACCGAAGCAACAAATCTTTATTCAGTTTCCATTCCATGTTTATCATCATCAAAACGTGGCTGACCGATGGTGGTTCTTCTTCTAATGACTAAGTTCCTTTTCATCATAAACCGTTTGCACCACGATTCCGTTGCCTTGAAGTACTGCCGGCCAGATTCCTGCGCTAGCTGCAATGCCTTCGCTCGAATGTCCTCGACAAGCACTGCTCTGCTTGCTTCCCGCCACTGCACAATCCATGCATAGACAGCTTTCTCGATCTCCTCTACCTTTTGCTTCCCATAACGGTTGGCGCGTTTCCTCAGTGGCATATCCTCCAAATTCTCCTTATCGGCCTTCCATCTTCGAATCAGACGATCAGAGACTTCGTAGTGAACAGCGGCAGCCGATGTTCCATGTTCCAAGGCATATTGCACCACGTTAAGCTTAAAAAGCGCGGTGTAGGACTTCCTTCTGATAGCCATTGAGATGCGAGACACCTGAAAAGCTTAAGTCAAAGCATGTGAGACTATGCTGGAAAGGGCCCCGCGTGATTGTGAACTTCGCTGAGTTACCGGTCATTGCACACTGGAATCACGCGGAGTCCTATAAATTTGCGCTGGTCATCGAAAGGTTTACTCTTTTATACAAGGAAAAGCAGGCGGTATCAAATTTGACTACACTATCTTTTGTCTTGGATGTACAGGCTTAATGAAACAACAATTGAGGAAAATAACAAGGAAGCCTAATGCTTTGCTAAGGTTGAGCATTCTCAGACTGTCACTCTTCCGTTCAAGAAAGCATTTGACAAAAGCCGTATGGCATGGGTCAACAGAGGCTACATTCAGAACATGAAAACATTAGAGGAAGCAAAAATGTAGGAGTCAGGTTCAAGTTGTAGCCTGTACGGGTTCGAGAGATGTAGTGAAAACATTGTCGCCTCCAAAACGATAAGATGAATGATAAGTTGAGATGATTGCAATGATGCAATGATGAAACCTATTATGATTCTTTTCATCGGCAGAAATCGCTCAATTTCATACAGGTGTCATATATAGGAAAAGAACTCACCTATCCAGCGTACGCGATGAAGAATCCGAGACGACCACCAAGTAGACTGTACGACTTGTCGAATCCTTGAGCTCTTTCTTTCAGGCGATATCGCGGCCTCGTTTAAATCTACACTGGCAAGCCACGCGAGCGGTCGCGCGCGTCTGTGCTCCCAGGTCGCGCTTGCTCATGCTCAGGACAGACGGACGTATCTGCGAGACGATTTAGGCGGACTTATCTGTGACACCCTTTGCGGCGTTTTTCCATCGATTTTCCTGCCAAAACTGCAGATAAGTCCGCTTTTATATGACGGATTTTAGGGTAATTCTGTCGCGGCTCATTTACTGCAAACCTACGTGACCTCGTCAGAGGCCATCGCATATAAAATGAATTTATGGCGCGCTGAATATCCTATCGCTAAAATTCTCTTGATTTCGTGAGCTTCTCCCCATTACGGTATACACATCGCGACTCGACAATATGGCCCAATTGTGAGAAATGAATATTTGTGTTCGTGATTGCCTTGCACCAACATCTCACGAAATTTTGAAATTTTGTAAGTAACAGCGCACCACAATACCCCACGAGCTTGCTGAAACTACTAGCAAAATTCACTTCTTCAAAGGACTTTCTAGCTGCTCTTCTCCTTTTGTGCTCTATTTCTTTTTTTTCAATCAAATACAAAATGTTCTTCAAGTTCCACGGTAGACTGGAACGCACCCAGTCAAAGTTGCGGAGCTGAGCTGCGCGTTAGTGGCGTGGTTTTTTGTGCAAAGTGAACCGAGCTATGTCTTCTTACTGGAGGGTAAACTACCGGTTATTCTGCGGTATCATCGCTTCCCCAATTGCTCTGTGAGCATTAAGGATCTAGAAAGTGCGCTTTAGCTCAAAGATAAGTCAGAGATTACTCGGAGTTATGAGTGATTTCGACAGGTTCACTACTCACCCAGAGAAAGAATGAAACCTGAGTAAGTATGATCTCGCCGAGATGGAGATACCAACCAAATCCAGGAGCTAGTTTCATGCCTTTTGTTGCGCAATAGAGTGCATGATGTGCACAGCACTACAGCTGCAAGGGGCTGACATGTTTTTTATTTTGAGCTCGTGACTAATGCGACACGCAAAGGCTTGACAAATCGGAATACCTGATTTCTCTGCAAAGTGATTGAGGTGTTCCTACCGAGTCGATGCGCTAAAGCTCACTATTGATTGTGGCAAAGAAGTTCAACTCTGAGCTTTTGTCTAGTAGTACGCTGACTGTGGGCTACAGCCTAATTAGCGTTTTCGATCACGGAAGAGTGTAGAGCTGAGCTTTCGGCGACGAATAATTAATTAACAAAGGCTTATTTAGGTCTCTCAGTCGACATGAGATGAAAGAGGTGCGCAGGCTTGATTAGACACTGCCATTGATTCTGCCGCAATTTTTACGATGAGTTATTGAAACACCCACCTCATAGAGTGGATAAGTGAAAAATGATCTTAACCATCTTTCTGCTTTGGAATATATAAACTTAGAACGAAGCCCCTAATCAGCGACAAGGCTGAGCAAACATGCTTCTCAACGCTCATCCTCTAGATGATACACCGATGAAGTGTAAGGAAGTAAGTGATGATGACACCAAAGGTAAATCTCAACAACTGGCGCTCGGCTGGTCGGATGAAGTCCTGTGCTCACGAGTGAGAACCCTCAGTATCAGTTCCTATGCCACATCCTCACCAGGAGCGGTACATCGATCTTCCGTCTGAGTAAGTGTTTGCGTTTAGGCCGTAACCCTGGTCAGGACGCCCTACTCCCGAAATAAGCATGGAACACATTCCAGTATGCTGCTCTTAGCTGCAGAATCTTAGTGTAAACCCACTTATACCTTCAGGGCGCTCATGACGACCAGTAGAGCCGAAACTAGAGAGGTCAGAGTCTTAATTTCTTGTCAAATCCAATTGCGGATTTCAAAAACCTCTTGTAACACAACGACTAAGTTTTGCTCTTTGATTAGTGGATGAAATTCACGAAATAACATTTTTGAGCACCTAAGCAAAAAATGCGCCATTTCACGTAATTCGATAACTAAAAGATCAAGTAATTCTGCACGTGTTGCTGATTCAACCGATTTCACCTAACCCGGTCTTCGAACGGTCAGGCACCCACGTTCGAGCAGCGCGGGAGTAGAACGCCCGCATTAATCGAGGTCACAGTCTGAACGGGAACACTTGTCAGATGGGAGAATGATACATACCGCAACAGGCCGTGAATCAGTGCGGCCGAATCGGTGGACGTTCGAGAGCAGCTTGATTTGCCGGCTATCCAACGCAATTTTTTCACCTGTCTAAATTTTCAAATCTTGTCGTGGGGATCATGGTATGTGACGGAATATAGGAACGAAATTTTGCAAAAAAATGCCTTTGAGTGAATTTCTATTATATCTCTACCACAGCTAATAGTCTTGCTATATTTCCCTCAGCACTAACGTGAATGTTTGTCTGTTGTTTGATGGAAGCGTGTGATAATATGTCATGGGAACTATGTGCCTTACATTGTCTTCTTTATATCAATAACATTTAATAGTATGGCATCACATGGAATTTATAGACTGAATTGTACATGTATGTGGAGATGTAACTGCTGAATAGAAGACCAGGGCCAGTAGGAACCTAGTAGGAGCTCCGCTGCGCGTTGACTCAGCTTTAAAGGCAAGGTCTCAGCAAAATCGTGAATTTGGAAATTTTCCGCTTACCTGGGCTTATCCGCCTCACTGATTCCGATCGTACATCTTGCAGAGTTCGAGAATGTCGGAAATTGGCTATTTCTGAAGGCCCCAGGTTTGAAGGAGGACGTGAGGAAGCAAAGTCCGCCAAGGTTAGAGACGCAACGTCGCTATGGAACTCAACTGTCATGACTGTGTGCGCTATACGCACTCTGGCCTTACAATTCGAAATTGCTATGTGGGCGGCGTCTGGGCCTATCGTAATATCCGCGCCCCATTCAAGGCAAATTTCAGTCTTAGTAAACATCCTTCGCGACTTCGGCCATCGGTTTAGTAGGGGTTAATATAACACAAAACCCGGCGCCTCTCATTTTGACGGAACGCTGCCTTTAACTCTAAGTTTCGTTCAAAAGCTCGGAGCTAACTCCGAGTTTCGTTTTCGGACTCGTAGTTCCGTCCTGCTATCGCTGTATAGTATGTTGATGAGTCCCATACGCATCATCGCAAAACTAAGCGACGGTCCGCGCCTAGAACTTCGGTTGCTCTGTGCACTGAGCCGACTACTAAGCCATTAGGCCAATAAGCCGCTTTTTGTAGAGATGCCGCTATAACTTAATGAATCCCCGTAATCAAGATCTCACATGTCAAGACAAGTCGAGAGCGTGAAGCTTGCCTTTAAGGTATCTGGCCGTAAAGTATCTTACAGATTCTCGAAGTATTATAGTAGCAGGACGAAATATGCGTAGACTGTAAACAACCCGTCCACGTCCCTTGTTGTGATATGCTATATTTGATGAAAATCAAAAGCCTCTGCTAATATTTATTGCGAAGGCCTATGAAACTTGTATTTTCATATTCCTTCAAAAAAAAAACTAAAATCTAAAGATTGATTTGAAAATCAAACTATTTCGTGTTTTCAATGACCTCTGAATAAAATTCTTTTGCAATTTCAAACAATTTTTCGAGGTCACTCGTGTTTGAAGAACAGCAAAAGATTTTAAAAGTAAAAATCAAAAGCTGCTATCTGACATCATTGCTTCATTGCTAAAAAGGGCAACTCTACCTGAGATTTTCGCCTTTCTTTTGTACATGCCTTACATAATCCTCATTGAAAACTGATAGCATATTTATCCATGACTGTACTGCCAAATGAACCCAGGCTAGACTATAGATTGTACGGCAGACCACCCAAATTCTGTGTTTTTTGATAGTTTCATGCCTCTGCCGTAACTCCGCTATACAACGTTGCAGTGAAAAATGGGCAATGTAGTTGAAGTCAGCACATCACACTTTGCTCGGCGTAGGCCCGAAACTGCTACAAAGAGTTCGAGAGCTCGCCAAAAACTTGGCCACTGATCACAGATACAAGCTATTTGACGACCACTCGCAGAAAATTCTGCCTTGCTGCTCGCTGTTAGAACATGCGACAGTAAAAAAGTACCGCTCGCCAAAAGTTTGGCACGCCCAAAAATCTGCTGACCGCCTGCAAAAAACTAATGGTAAGTACAATATCGCTCACAGAATGTGCAAAATTTCCGTAAATGTCGCAGAATTCCGAGAATCCGCGAAGGTTCGCGAAATTCCGGGAATTTTGCGACATTCCCGGAATTTCGCGACATTCCCGAAATTTCGCGAAATTCATGTAAATCACGCAAATTACGCAGGGCCATAACTTCGTTCCGAATGAGTATATTCAAAATCCGAAAACAGCATTGTATTCAGCTCGTCAAGGCGAATCTTTTGGTGTACAGGTTGTCTCCAATATCCTCTTTTCAATAATCTTGAATCTGCATGCGGCCGCCTTTTCGCGTAGGTGTAACGCAACAAGCATCACACATAGGAGATTGCGGCGGGCACATTTCGATAATACTCTTTCAGTAGATTATTCTGCGCTAAACAGCAGCCGAAGACTCTCTTTTAAAAGAGATAGAAGAGTTGATAAACTCTGGAAAAATCAAGCTGTTCGAAGTTCTACTAGCCGTAACTTCCTTCAGAATGAACATCTTCGAAATCCGAAAACAGTATTGTGTTCAGCTCGTTAAGGCGAATCTTTCGGTATACAGCATGTCCTTGAAATTCCATTTCCAATTTTTTCAAAATTTTCTGCGCGCGTATATTCGCAAGGTCGCAACGCAGCGCACATCAAAAAGACTCCAATAAGCACTGGATTGTGCTGCTCCCGCAAATTACTGAGCGCTAAAAACGAACTGGAGAATCTTTTTCGAAAAAGATAGAAGAGCTGGTGAATTCTGAAAAAATCGTGTTGTGTCAAATTTTGCCCACTGTAACCCTAAAATGGGAAGCTCTCCTGCTAAGCAGATGTGCTTTTCGTAATCAGCAGGTCAGATAACCTCTTTGAGCGAAGTTTCCCTATAATCCAAGATCATAGAACGAGAAAAAATCAAATCACCCGAATTTCTTTGAAAACTTGCTCATAGAGGTTATCTGACCTGCTGATTACGAAAAGCACATCTGCTTAGCAGGAGAGCTTCCCATTTTAGGGTTACAGTGGGCAAAATTTGACACAACACGATTTTTTCAGAATTCACCAGCTCTTCTATCTTTTTCGAAAAAGATTCTCCAGTTCGTTTTTAGCGCTCGGTAATCTGCGGGAGCAGCACAATCCAGTGCTTATTGGAGTCTTTTTGATGTGCGCTGCGTTGCGACCTTGCGAATATACGCGCGCAGAAAATTTTGAAAAAATTGGAAATGGAATTTCAAGGACATGCTGTATACCGAAAGATTCGCCTTAACGAGCTGAACACAATACTGTTTTCGGATTTCGAAGATGTTCATTCTGAAGGAAGATACGGCTAGTAGAACTTCGAACAGCTTGATTTTTCCAGAGTTTATCAGCTCTTCTATCTCTTTTAAAAGAGAGTCTTCGGCTGCTTTTTAGCGCAGAATAATCTACTGAAAGAGTATTATCGAAATGTGCCCGCCGCAATCTCCTATGTGTGATGCTTGTTGCGTTACACCCACACGAAAAGGCGTCCGCATGCAGATTCAAGATTATTGAAAAGAGGATATTGGAGACAACCTGTATACCAAAAGATTCGCCTTGACGAGCTGAATACAATGCTGTTTTCGGATTTTGAATATACTCATTCGGAACGAAGTTATGGCCCTGCGTAATTTGCGTGATTTACATGAATTTCGCGAAATTTCGGGAATGTCGCGAAATTCCGGGAATGTCGCAAAATTCCCGGAATTTCGCGAACCTTCGCGGATTCTCGGAATTCTGCGACATTTACGGAAATTTTGCACATTCTGTGAGCGGTATTGTACTTTGTGTAATCAGCTTTACTGTATAGTATTCAATTCCCAGGTAATGATCGTAACATAATTCTTTGAAATCATTAATGATTTGGAAAACCTGATACACGAAGTCCAAAAAAGTCGCAAACGTTACATCGTTGATAACCAGGGGAGCAAGAGGTGTGCTCATAACCGCCGGAGACGACTCTCACCCTCCTTGTCTCAATCCCCCTCCGCATTTTCGTTTACCTATCATAGACATAACATAAAGGCCCTACAAGCATAATTAGTAATATGTTCGTAATTATCATATGAAATAACCATCGTGGGCTAAGATTTGACAGATTGTGAGGGTTCTCAATATTGGGCGACTCCAGTGAAGTAGTCGTAAACGTGGTTAACAATATTTTATAGAGTTAGGAGCCAGCCAAAATCTCACTTGTCCGATTTTTCGCTTGCAGTCATTGTCTTCCTTTTCGCTCAAAACAAAGAAGA